ACTACATAGTCCAGAGGCTTTGGAGGCAGAGCGAGGAGAGAAAGGAAGGGTGTTCAGAGGAAGTACACCAGTCAGACTCCGCCTGCGAGGAGGAAGGCAGGGAGTCCAGAGTGATGGAGAGCCCTGAGTCAGCTCTTCCCGGGGAGCCGCACTGCTTTCCAGTGAGATGGGAGAACTTAGCCCTTCTGTTTATGGGGTCTTTGAACTCTTTCACAATGTTAAATTTGGGGTCAAATTTGGCTCAGATTGTTTTAATTCTTCACATTTTTTTCCTTGCTTCTTAAAGACTGTTGCTTTCTCCTGAACTCTTTTCAGCTACTACACTAAATACCACAGCCGGCATCCCTGGCAGTCTTTGCATTTCTGGAGTGGAAACTAGGCATGCCATCTATAAGAAAGAACTTGGAATAGTACCTGGTTGCCCCTTCAGTGCTAGCATCTCCTCTATGTTTTACCCCTGTTACATGATCCTCAAGGTCGTTTGAAAGAGTGCTGTGGAGGAACTCACAAGATCTGTGTGCCCTGGGACACACGTTTTACAATAATGTTCCTCCTTATATTGAGCTGGATGCGATTCCTTGAGCCTTCTGGCTTCTTACAGTATTACTTGGAACAAGAGGCTTAATCACATCCCTCTTCCACATGAGGTTCCTTCAGGTATTTGAAAACAGCTAACACATTTCTCAGTTCCTTCAAGAGGAAAATGGAAATGCATGTTGGAAGATACCTGTTTTCAATCAGACATTAAGCTGAGGTTATTCACCTTAATTAGCTCCTTCTTGAGGAAAATCAAAATATCCCAATAAATAAGCAAACTAAACAGAAAACACAACACTGAGAGAGGAAATACTTTCCCAAAGTAAATGGCAAGGCCAGGTTTTAAAGTGAGAGTAAACTACAAAATTGTTTCTAATAAAAAATACACTCAAATAAATAAAAATTTTATTTTTATCAAGGTACTGCAGCTTCATAGTTAAAAAGCCAGATAATGCTGTAATAATTCTTGGTTCATTACCATCCTCACTGCTGCACGTGTATGTACATGAATATATATACTGCATGTATATATATATATTCATATACAGAATATATATGGCTAGGGCAAGATCTGATAATGCTTTACACTTAGCATTTCTACCATCTGCCTTATGTTTTTATTTCTGTCATCAGAAAACCTGGAGAACAGGCCAAGATAAAAACAGAGAGTAAGAAAGGACAGAGGTAAGATTTTAGGCTGAGAGACAAAATTGAACATCATAATAAAATGTTCGAACAAAGATGAAAGAGATTTACACAACAAAAACTGCAAGAACCAGGGCTTCTGGGGAATCTTATGTTTTGATGTGTAAGACAATTTGAAATATTTCTTGGTGTGAATAAGTTGGTAGATGGATAAAGGGAATTATGAAAAGGGTTGTTGTGAGTTATAAATTCAATCACATTAAATGATATTTCAGAGTTAAGTAAATTTTGGAATTTCTCTTTAATTAATAATCATTGTCAATCTGTGCTGCTTTGAATGGCACTCTCTGGAGAAGCAGGGCAAAATAGGTTATTTATAGCCTGCTAGATGTGTGGTGCTCAAATCTAAACACAACACTCCCAGTGTGAAGATATTAAACAGCTCTGACATGGAAGTAAGAGCTACATCCTATTTCCAAATACACAGGAAGGACAAAAGGAAATTAGATTTAGAATCAGTAATAAAAAGGAAATTAGTTTTCTTATTTGTAACCGTCTGTATTTAAAAAAAATTGAGTCCATTCATTCTAATATTTAGCCTCTGGACCCACTTTGCTATCTGCTGCCCAGTCTGAACCATATTTTCAGTAGGTATTTTCCATCCTCACTAGTCCCTTTAATAGTTTAGTTTGCAAGTCATTAAACCCAAGTAATCCCAACTAAATGAAATTGTTTAAATATTTCTTTTTTACCACCTTCCCTTCACTTAAATCCTAAAATGTACACATATGCAAGGACATGCTATTTCAATGAGTTGATTTTTTATATAGTTATTATTTCTCCAATCCTGTAGCAGAGCAGGCAAAAACAAAAATAAAACAAGACAAAACAAAACAAACTGAAACTAAAAACAAAACCCAACCATATTTGTTTGCTTTCTGGTCACCTTGAGTGATTTTCATTTTTTTTTTTATGGTTCTTCTACAGATAGCATCAACGGAACTCACAGAGCTGGAAGAGAGGTGGGGGTTCAGTGTTCTTGGCAATATTTAAATATTTTGTTTTTCTTTTAATTTCCCTTAACCACAGTACTTTCACAGGATTGGATAATTACATTTTACCACTTATCTGTGGAATCCAGTGCAGAGACCATAATTCCATTTCAACCCAGTGATGTTTCAGACTCATACAGGTGAGAACCCTTCTCACTGCAGAGCACCACTACCCTTCATCCAGGTTTGTTTAGGTATAAATTCAGTTTTGAATCTTGCTCAGAGACCAATTAAGAAGTTTTAGTACTATCCTGGTTAACTTGCATTATAATATTCCTGGCAATTTCTACAACACTGAGCTGGAAGTGTCATCTTCTCCAATGGATCAGAAAGTGCTCTTTCCCTGTAGGGAGTCTAAGTTTGACATGTTTACTTACTTGTCAGAACATGTGTCAAAATGAATCTAGAGGCTTGTATGTGATGCTGGCAAATCTTCCTTATGCCAAAAATCTAGTGGACTTTTGAGGGTCCACTGCCTTGCTCAGGGTTCCTGAGGAAAGTGGGAACTTCTGACCCAGACCCCTGTCTTTGAGCTCACCAAGGGTTCTAGCACCATGGAGCTGCCGCTGGATGGCCTTTGCATATTGGTGACTTGGCCCGAGATCACTGGCCAGTCTTGACTGAGAGAGGACTGGCTTTACACATCCGCTCTGATACACATGGACCGGATACACACGCATACACACACACTCTACAGAGTTCACCAAGGGGAAGGGCTCTTAATACTGTTCTTCCACTCTGCCCTTCAGGTTTCCAATCACTTTCATTGCCATAGAAGAATGACTTCAAGCCTTTTCTGAATGCTTCCTCTTTCCCAGCAGTCTGCAGTATCCCCTCTGTCAGGTTTCACATCACCGTGATGAAGGGACTATCTGCACATACAGGCACAGACAAGGCTAGTTTCTGTCTGAGCAAGATTTGGAAATCGGTGCCAAATCTCTCCATGAGCTTCTTATTCCCTCAGTGATCATCACTCAGATTGCTAATGTCCCTCACTTTGGTAATATTGATCAAAATCTTATATTTAGAAAAAAAAAGTAGATGAAGTTTGCACAAGATGTCACAATTTGATGGATAATCCAAGGTTATCTATATTTTCACATGGAACAAAATCTTACCACGTAATGAATAGATCTCTGACAGTGAAACTTGAAAGATTAAGTCCATGAGAGAAGTTTATTTCAGAGAAGTGAAGATGTTGCCTGCCTCTAATGTAATACTTTACAATAATAGTAGTAATAGCAAAGTGAGGGCAATGATCATTTACTGCGTCCTTACAATATGCCGAAGTGATTTGTAAATACATCATCTCATTTATGCCCCAACAACCTTATGAGGTAAAAGACTCTGATTTCTCTCATTTCACAGCTGAGGAAATAATGTTTTAGAGATGTTAATAAGATCACCCAGCACACAAATAGTAGATTGGAAAATAGGATTCAAACTTGGGCAATTTGATTCTAGAGCTCAACTTCTCAACCCACTGCCTTCCAGTAAGTATTATAATTAAATAGACTGATGGCTGAGATGATTCCAACTATTTTAGATTAGACTAGTTAAATCAAATTAGAGTGGCAGACAGACACTAGAGTCCCTTCCCAATTATGACAGTTAAGTTTCTGAAAACACCTCTGGTAGCAGACTTTTCTGTTGAGGACATCAACAGAAAATTGCATTAAAAAAAAATGCATTAGGGGGAATCAAAGATACTGAGGAAATGAAGAAAGCCTTTCTAAAATAAACATACTATTGTTCATTAAAGTGAAACAATAAAACAGCCCCCCCCAGATTAAAACAATATTTATCCATCTTAAATTAGTATGAGGAGTACTCTACTATTTCCATTTACTTGCTCAGGAAATTAATTTCCACAACGCTTGCTCAGCAGAAAATTTTCAGTCTCTGCTTCCCTTGAAGTCTGCTGTTCTTACAAAGAACCACTGTATGTGTGTCAGGAATGCTTTGCTCATTTTAAAACATATAGTAATAACACACCTGGTCTTGGTCAGAAAGTCTTAAGATTGATTGACAGGTACAGGGAAAGACCTATGTACTAGAATTTTGAGGAAGGGTAACTGATATTATAAATTACTATACATAGATATGCTACTAAGCTATGCATTAGTAATCTTAATATAGTAATATATATCACACAATAGTGAAAGACATTATACAGCTTATTATGATGTGAGAGTCCTTTCCTTATTATCACATTGATGATTTCCTTTTTGTCCCAATCATTTGGGAGTAGACATATCTGAACACATATTAGCTAAGCAGTATTGTGGAAAAACTGCTTATTTATCAGAGATGGCAAATTAAATTAAACACCTGTGATAGCAAGTGAAAGTTTATTGCCAGAAATAGCAAGGTTTGGAAAATGATGTGGGATTGGGAATACAGTGAAGGTCAGCCAAACTATGACTAGAGGAAAATAAGATGACTGGGGCTTGCATACAATATGTATGTAATAACAATTTACTGGAAAAAAAAGGAATGCTGAACGCATGGGTAGTGGATGGAGTGGATAATATTGAAAATTTAAAGCTTCACAATTTTGCCAGCTAAATCAGGTATTATATTTGATCGCTATATTGTATTCTGTTATAATCAATGTTGTACTTTCCTATCTATGAGTGAGAAAAATAAAAACATAATGTCCTGTAATTGCTATCTGTGAAAAGCCAAGGACATATTTTGTTCTGCTTCTTTCATACTCTGTTTCATATTAATGAGAGGTTTTAAAACATCATGAGAAGTACCAACCTTGAAAACTGCATTCTGTTTTGCTCATTTCACCTAAAAGAATAGAAAAGACAGGAAGAAAAGAAATTTAAGTGAAAGCCAATTAAAGCAACACAGCAGCAAAAAGGACCATTTAAAAAACAACTTTTGCCATTTTCATTGGCAAATGAGACATTTTTATCTGTGGAGAGAGAAATATTCTGATAAAATTTTCCCCCTAAACTGTTTTAAAAATATATTGTTCTTTTGCATTTTGTGTTAGTTTGCTTCAAACAATTTTTGGGGGACACAACAATTATGGATGACAAATGAGTAGAGATTCAGAGGGGATGTTTAATAAAAATGATTACATTATATATATATATATATATATATATANCTCACACTTACTCAATTCATGGAAATTTGCCATCCTGACAAGATTTTTTGATAAATTCAGACAAGACTAGTTTAAGAGGCTATTACAATTTTTTCTCAGGTTCTATATTTCTTCTCTTAAATGCTGATTAGAACACAGGCTTCTGCTGCTTCTCCCTCCTCACTCCCCCAATAATCTGTTCTCCCTTATGGATCAAGTGATTATTGTGTTGTTTATAATAACTGTTCTACATTCCTTATGGAAATCATAATTATGATGCTGAATATTCATACTGAAAGCCACTTTTCTCAGGGAATTTGTAATTATGATAATGTAGTATTTACCCAACCAATGTTTTCTAGTCATTGTTCTCTTTGAGGCATGAGGAGGTGAGAGAAACACACTGAAATAAAACATCCTGTTGGGATCTCAGATATATATTCTGGAAAAGTGTAATAAAAATAGCCAAAATTTGCTATATGGCAGGCATGACACCATCAGGCTGACATGTATATGACATATATGTGTATTACATAGCAGGAATATGTGAGTTACATGTTTCTCATTTAACCTATACACCAACCCAATGAGGTAAGTAATAGTATTATCCCAGTTTTGTATGGCTCAGAATTATTGAGTAATTTACCTGACATCACACAACTGGTAAATAGTAAAGTAAAAGTTTAAATCCATGTCTGTAAGATATAAAAATCTACTTATGAACTCATTGTCAGAGGCATCTATTTTATTCACTGGCACCTATGCACATTTGGTGAATTAATTCAATGACAGTCTGTCTTTACAAAAAACAGTGTTTCCCAATCCCTATGTAGTGTGCTTTGGTCTCTGGCAGATACTTACTCCTAAGAATGGAATTCTTAGCCTAAATTCTGAGAATGGAATAAAGCCTCTGTGCAGAGTGAAATCTGATGCCATCTTTTTGAAGGGTAATTAAGATTATAATTTTTCATGCTCTCTGACCCAACAGTTCCACTTCTCTAATTTATGCTAGAAGTTTAAAAGCATTTATTGTACATTGTTTTAAATATTGGAAAACAACAGAAGTAGTCCAAATGCCCACCAAATTCTTTGTGGTGCAACAGAATACAATAGAACACTAGCGTCATTAAAATGCATGAGTTCACACTATGTGTCCTGGAAAAATGCCCATGAAATAATATTAGGTTGAAACACCTAGTTGTAATCCTTCTCTTGTTAAAATGTACTTGTTTTTATGTATATGACATACCTGAATTTGCATAGAAAAAATATAAAAGAATAGAGACCAAATATTTAAAGTAGATTATCTTTTTAGTAATAGGTGAGGAGGGAACTTTCTCTTCCACAATGAATTCTTAGTACTTGAAATGTGTATAACCAGCACGTATTTCTGTTTCTTGTTTTTTGTTTTTTTGGGCAGCAGAAAACAAATTTTTAAAAATGTAGAAAGATAGGGTCAAGGACAAATAAACACAAAAATTATAGTAGAGTACAGTATTTCAAAAAGAAAACAAAATCCAAGGTCAATCACAGGAGTCTTATGTGAGCCCCTAAGTACTCTGGAAACTGGATCTCTACTAATTCTTCCCATCTGTCTTCCCTATTTCCACTTTGCCAGATTGCTATAAACCAGTGTGCTCCAAGCAAGGATGGAGCCCCTATCCTTTCTTCCTTAGGAAATCAGCAATGACTGTTTAGGTTTTTTTTTTTAAATATCAATAAGCAATGTCAGAGCACCTACCATATACAAGTACTCTATAGACATGTTTTTAAATCTCATAACTCTGCAAAACAGATATTTTTACTTCAGTTTTATAAATGAGGAAAATGGGGCTCAATGAAGTAATTTATTTGCTCAAATATTCCAAGTTGGTCTGTATTCTTTTAACTTGGCAAATTGACCAGTCTTACTTAATCAAAAGAAACTCAGAAAATAAGGCAAGCATAATAGGAAAGCAAGAGGAAAAATATATAAATCAGTGATTTTTTTAGTAAACTAAACTCTAGCCATTGGTTTACCATCTATGCAGCTTGAGAACTTCCAGGGTCTGTTTCAGTCCTGCTGCCAGCTTTACTATGTCCCTAATGCCCTACCCAAGGACTGCCACTCCCCTCTTTTATTTCTTTTTTAAGCCTTAGAAAAACCTCGCTTTCATTCTTTCAGTAGAACCCATCTAATTCACACAGGTCACACCATGTACATTTCTGTTTTCCCACACATGGAAAGATTGATGAGCTGTCCAAGCTGATAGTAGCAGGGGCCAAATGTTGAGCCTCAGTTTCAGCACTTGCCCTCAGGGCCTATGCTTACAACCCTGGGCCTTATCTTCGGAAGAAGGAGCAGTGATTCATTTTCACTAGGACTGAAACCAATTCCAAATAAGGGTTTGGTTACCTGCCTGCAGGGCCTTGTGCAGCACCATGATCTGAGGGCCCGAAAGAGTGTTTGAAATGTCAACACGTGACAGTGCATAGTATCACCTCAGACCGATGGAAATACTTGGGGCTGCAGAGGTGGGACCTATTCGCCCTGATATGCACTGCATGACCCAGAAGCTGCTTGCCTGTCAGAACAAAGGAACGGCCTTTTGAAGGTGCAGCTGAACAGTAGGTTGGGGATGATATCTTGTAGTGATAGGATGTCATCTAAAGAATGTGGTAAATATTCTAAGTCAATGACCATTCTTTGATACTGCATTCATAATCGATAAAATACATGGGTCTAGGAACCAAGGAGAGGAAGCAAGGGTGGTTGAACTTAACATCATTCCCAGTGGCCTAAGTGGGGAATTTGTACTTCCTTTTTCCACAAATTTAGGTCTCTGGATATAGACATCCTGGTCTTCAAAGGGAGAATGCTTTGAAGAAGACACAATAGGAGTCTCATTAAACTTCAGGATATGTCTTATATCAGTCACTTTGGGCCCCTTGTGCTGGGAGAGGAGTCGCCACACTGGCAGAGTCACTGACTGATGTGGGTAACTGAGCTAGGGCTTCTGTCATACCGTGAGGGCAGGGGAGAATTTCTGGTGTCTGGGTGGTTCACAGAGCATTTATTAGCATTTCTCTACCTATTTCTGATCATAAATGGACAGGTACTGCATGCTCTAAGAAGGGAATAGTGAGGGGAGGTTCAGACCCTTCAGTAATAGTTGATGCCAGCCCAGAAGGTAAGTCACATACATCAGTAGAAGTGTTGGCCAAGGAAGAGGGAATTCTAGAGTGGGTAGTAAAAGAAGAGGTAACAGGGGACAAGAGTTATCATTTGTGGCCATGGACTAGCTACATTGATAGAGTGTGGTCCCCACTAATCTTCCTCTTGGAGGTTTCTTCAAGAAGGGTGGCCTACTAGAATCCAGGAGGTGCTGTGCCCAGATAGAATAAATTTATTATATGAAGCAAGATGAGCTAAGTAGCCCACGGAGCAGACAGGGCAGATGCTACAGGACATCACCCAGATTTCAGGCAAGGCACTCATTCCCTCAGCGTCCTGAAGTGTTGGCTTCTGATTGCCCACAGCTGACTCTTCTGGCTGTTTTCCTCCTTCTACCAAGGGCAACTACCTTCTCTTAGATGATTCATCCTTCCATAAGCAGCTCACATCTAATGCCTGCTTGATATAGGTGTACAAAGGCTATACTCCCTTTTCTCTACCTGGGATACCTCTAATGATACCAATCCCAAGTATGCTCTCAACAAAATTCCTGCACAAAATCTCCATCTTAGAGTCTTTCTCAAGAAGACTGACCGAAAGCAAGATTAAAAAATTCAGAGACATAGAGCTGAGAATTGAATACAGATATAACTGGCTTTAAAGTCCATATCATATCCACTGTATCTTCCTGTCTCACATAAAGAACAGTTAAACCTAATTTTCAAAATATATTTGCTTAGGCAGTAAACAGTCAATGATGCTATGTTTAAGCTTGTAAGTCAGAAAACATTCTTCAGTGTTACAGAATATCTACAATTATACTGCCAGAGGAATATTAAATTTATATATTTATACCTCTTGGAATCCAGACTGAGATAAATTAGTAGATATGTATGCACACTCAAGCTAATTTATATATGTACATATATGCATATGTGTATGTAAAAATATATATATATCCTTTAAAATATCTATCAAGACCAATTTCAAGTTTAGTTTGACCCAAATCCATAATAATGCCAGCCTACTTTCAAAGTACAATATGATACTTTCAATCATGCCCTTTTCCAAGAAAAAGATTTGAGACTTCTGTTTCAAAAAACCTAAAAAATTAGTTGTGGAACAAGGGCTTACATTTTCCACCATAAATGTAAGGATTTTATCAGGCATGAAATGCAGTCAGAACAATTTATGGCCCAGTAAAACATTACTTTAGGCAGTCTTTACAATCAGAACATAGAAGTCATGGGATTCTGTGCAGTTTTGAGAAAATGCAGTCAGGTTTTTATAGCCAGCGGACAGTACAGCTCAGTGGTCACCATCACTCTGTGGTTTCCTATCTGGGAATCATTGCACCTCTTCACTGATCCTGAAGAAATTCTGCATCACCAATTCCTTTATTTAATTAACTAACTCCTAATTCTGGATCTAATCATGATACTCCGCAATTTAAATGTATGTAGCATCATTGGTTTACTTCGACCACTACATCATATTAAGGGCTGAGCATGATAAAAAAACATAACATGTTAGATAAATTCC